ACCACCGGAAAATGGCAATTTCCGGTGGTTTTCAATATATCTCCCTATCCTCTATCAATCACAGCCCCCTTTCTATCAACTTTACATCTTTTCCGATTTATTTTTGACCCAAAGCAGGCCTAGAAGTCTCGACCATCATCATTGCTCCGCCTGAAAGTGGGGGGATGCGAAGAACCATCGGATTTTGGTTCATCTCACCCTTAATCTTATGGGTATGAGAGTGGAAGCCTCTCCAAAATTACCAATAAAAAGACCCCTTGGGTTCTCAATCAAAAACATCGGAGAGATCCGGAAAAATCTGGAACAACCATCAAGAAAAACGGATAGGAACTGCAATCAAGGATCCAACAATAGAGATAAGAACAGATAGAAACAATATATTTCAAAAGGGGACCGTTCGGTAAAAAATTTCATCTTCTCCTTCCTTTTGTTTTCGATTTTTTGGGTGTGAGTTCAAGTGAGTTTGAGGTCGGAATCCTTGACATCAAAGCCTTTGTTTGCTGCTCCACACAAGGTCAGAAATCGCCCCACTTTTACATTTTTTTTAGCTTTTTTTTTGGAGATAAAAATATAGTTACTCTGTGTTGCTATCTTGATTCTGCTTATTCATTCTGAGTATATACATAAAATGGTTATTATGAGATAATTTCAATTAGAGGAATTGTTGATTTGTCTATCTGATATGCGAGGTATGCCTGTTAAATATATTTTATACAAATTAATTAGTTTTAGGTATTAAACTTAAGCCACATCACTATTTTTGCGATCTACATAACTGAAGTTGGTCTGGTTTTCTTGTTTGAAAATCTTTGCACGTCCATGTAACTAAGGGCGTATGTTTATGAGGTTAAAGATATGAGTCGATGAATCGTTATCTATCTTAATTACCATGACCATGAATTAGTTAATAAATCAATCTCATATGAATCAAAAGAGAAGAAGAATGATATAGTCCGTTGAGTATATGCTTCTCAAGATGATCTGGTTGCTTATTCCTATTCCATCGAACTCTATGTATAATACATTGTTGCTACTATTTTATCGAAGGTCAGCATATAAAATATCTTGATGTGTTGCATTATTTGAAGGACACAATTCATATATGTTTGAAGAGAACAAAACATACATTATTTGCTGTATTTGGCGTATTTTGTTTTTTTTTCCCCCTTAGAATAACAAATATGTATGAAGGTTTATCTTCAGAAAATAACTAGTATAGGCTCTGTTTTTCTTGGTCCACTTTCCTAGTCGAATTACATACATTGAGCTCGTAGGAATGTATCTTCAAAGATTTCTTTTAATTTCCAAACATCGATGTCATGTAAGGAACTTCGTGTCAAATTAAATCTCGATAGAACAAGTATGTTGATAGTTACTACATCTTATCTTGTAAAACCCAGAATTCCCAGAAAAAATGTAGCCATAACTTTCCTATCTTTCGAATTGCACTCTCCTTTCAACTTAACTTCAGCCAAATATTTATTTATATTATGAAAATACGGTTAGCAGTCCATTTCCCTTTCTTGTATAATTTGTGACTTAGATCCCCCATGCATATGAGCAGTAAAATAGTAGATGATAATTACGTTTTTTTGACAGTAAAATAAGATGTCGGTTATATGTTTATGTAAAATTTATTCTTCTGCCATTGTTTAAAATTTCATGCTCTAAACTAAATACCACACAATTTAGTTTAAATCTGTTCCGTTTTGATGTGTATTAAGTTTGAGATTTTCTCCTCACCATAGGCTTAAGAATTTTATTTTTTTTACGAATTCTTTCCTAGAGTAAAATATGACCTTCCCAACCCTTGTTTTCTTTAGTATGTAAGAGGTGTAGTGCAAGCATATTAGTCAACACCTCCTTGTTTAATCATAATCGATACGGCAAATGATTTCCTAAATGAGCACCCTTTGTAGTAACTTGTATAAACCATCAGCTTTTCTATTACATTTCTATTAATAGACATATTTTTGAAGTGATATTTTTCTTAGCTTGATGAATAATGTCTGGCGAACCTTTTAGAGCATGTAGTACTCAATTGATGTGCTAGATTGTTGACGTCGAATTATTAAAATCTTGCTGATCGTTATGATTATTATTGGCATGATACTCTTTTTTTTTCATTCTCTTTTTATATATGGATGTCTATAATTAGGAATATTATTCTCAACTTTTGTCGCATTCTTGATTATAATACTTGTACATGGGTCTAAACATGTCATTAATAGAGACTATTATTCGGGTGTACCTCTCTTTCTAACTCTCTCTTTCTTCTTATGTCTCATGTACAACTGGAGAGCTGGAGTTTTTACTTTGGAACTCGTTATTGGCCTAAGATATTAGGCCAACAGCAATTAGGATCATCGCAACACTTGGGAGTCTCATAAATAGGAGTCCAACATTACTTAGCCTTTCCTTTTTCGAGTTTGATTATATTATTTTGATATGTTGACTAACCTTTACTTATGCCTACATAACTCTTAAGTTTTCGATACATTGCTTGTCTTTTTATTTGAAGATTATTTATGTGAGCTAATATTATTCGCTTGAGAATTTTGTGGAAATACTTTTAAAATAAATTATACAAAATATTATTTTTTTGAAAAATGGGTTAACATTTTTACCTATAACATTCTTTTCAGCCTTTTCAAGCTGAGGAAAAAGGAACTTATGGTTTAAGAGTTTTCCAAAGGATGTTTCAAAAGGTTAAAAATAATATTCGATCAGCATTTCAAAATTGGGAAAAGAAATGTATATAGACTTAGGCCTTTATTTTAAGGAATAGGAAAACTTATCATCTAAAATTCTCAATTGAAGTTTTAAAGGGTGAAATAATATTCATTCAGGTACTTGAGTAGGAAAAAAATTAAAACTCATAAATTGGGACTTCCAAATGAATTTAGAGATACATAAAGGCTAAAAATAATTAACTTGTGGAATTATATATATATATTTTTTGTGACTATAGAATGAGTCCTAATAGTTAGGCCTATTTTTATACTCTTTACATCACCCCTTATAAAATGTATTGACTATTCTTATTTTTTTCGAATCATTTAATCTTGTAACACGCTATTTCAAATTTTATTTTTATACTCTTTACATCACCTCTTTATAAAGTATATTGACTATTCTTATTATTTTTTTGGATCAAACATTGCTAAAAACATTCTAATCTTTTAACATGTTACTTCATGATTTTAGATAAGCCAACAAGTTCAAAATACAAGGTACATACATATATATGCATGCACATAAGAGGTATAAATTCTATATTTTATACTTAGTTTTCTCTATACATGACTTAGTATTTTGTTACCCTTTATATTATTTTTTTCTCATATCTACTATCTCTTTTACGAAGTTACTTATTTATTTTTTATAATTTATAAATCCCTACACTTTCATATACATATTATTTACTACATATAATCTATTGTCAATTTTTCCCAACATGTAAATAAATAAGGAATATTCGTATGTTTTAAACAACCTATGTGTACATACCATACTTAAGATCACAAACCTTTATATAATATTTTAATATTTTAACATCTAGTATTATTTATTTTATTTTATTTTAGAAAACTCCATTTTATATATTTTCACTCAAATTACACATCACATATTATTACGTATTCACACCTAACTACTATCTTATTTTTATTTCACGTCTTAAATAAGACGACACGTTCTCGCAAATTCAACATCTATATATTTTTAACATAATTTTATTATGATACACCTACCTATATATATTTTACATATGAATATATCGTATATTTAAGTACATTTATTTATTTATTTTACAATACTACTATTAAATTTATTTTATAAGACATATGTGTCGTACCTTGTATTGTACCCTTTTCTTAAACTAACTAATAACTTATCATTTAGTCATTAAAACCCAATAAATAAACAAGTTTTCCTAATCATATTTTCCTAAATTGAGTTTAAGGACTATCTTTGGATAGGCTTTGAGGGGTGCTTAACACCTTCCCCTCGAGTAACCAAAACCCTTACTCAGAATCTCACTGGTTTCGCAAATCAAAACAGAGTTTACATTTACATAAATAAAAAATGGTTTTCCTAATATTTTCCTTAAAATTTAGGTGGCGACTCTAAAACAAAAACTTTTTTTCCAAAATCAGAGTGTCAACCATATTATGTTGTGAACTGTTTCGGCCGGTTCGAAATAGGGTGCGGCACCAGTGTCAAAAAAACTGAACCACAAAGATAACCTTAACAACTTCGTAGCACTACCTGGAGAGTTTGTGAGTAGTTCATGGAACAGGTTCACTGCTTTCATAAGAAGTTTTCCAAACCACTGTATTGATGATGAGTCACTAACGGAGTATTTCTACAGAGGCCAGGATGACAATGGTAAGGCTGTGCTTGATACTATCGCAGAAGGATCTTATGGTGAGTGAACTTTTGAGGAGATCGCTGAGAAACTGGAGAAGATTTCCTTGAATAATAAAGCATTGAGCACTCAAAAGTCACACATTGGAAGAAGCACTTTTGCAGTTCAATCTGCACCTAGTCAATCTGCCGATGACATTCGTGAGGAGATGGCTCAAATGAGGACAAAACTTGGGTTGGTGTTGAATCACATGAGCAGAGGTACCGAAAAGATAAATGCTGTGAATTATTTGACTAAATATCCACCACCGATTGAGGAATGCTACTATGAAGAGGATACTTATGCAGGGAATGATCAGACGAGGGTTTTTGAGACAATGCCGACAATGATCAGACGAGGATACTAAAGATGATGATGAGATCGAGGTTACTGGAGAGTCCGACAATGCTACAGAGAAGGAAATGGAGATAACCCAGAAAGTTGTTCCCATGCCTGGACCTCCACCTCCATTCCCATAGAGGTTAGTGCAGAAGACTGAAGAAGGGAAGTACCACAGGTTTATTAGAATGTTGAAAAAGCTTTCCATCAATGCTCCGTTGACAGAAGCATTGGAGCAAATGCCTGGGTATGCAAAGTTTATGAAAGATTTGGTGACTAAGAAGCGGACTGTGAGTTTTGAAGATGATGATAGGTTGCAACATTGTAGTGCAATTGCTACAAGGTCCCTTGTACAGAAGAAGGAGGATCCTGGTGCCTTCACTATTCCTTATATCATCGGGTTGTTGCATTTTGCTAAGGTGCTTTGTGATTTGGATGCTAATATTAATCTGATGCCATTGTCTATTTACAAAAAATTGGGTTTAGGGAATAAAAAATCGACTGCGATGCGATTGCTCATGGTTGATAGAACTATGAAGAGGCCCATTGGTGTGCTGAAGCTTATCGTGACCAACGACACTATCCTACGGTATGAGTGTCTACGATCGTCGATAATTTAGTAACCCAACCACGGGTTAGGGTCGTGTCCCAAGAGAGCGATTTTGAGAATTGAAAGAAAAATAGAATTTACATTCTAACTAGTCGTAGCTAAAGACATTTGCGATAAAAAGGCATTTGTAAATTAAAGGGGGTGACACGAAAGTGTCAAATATCAAAGGGGTTTTTGTAACAAGTACTAAAACAGCAAAATAAACAAGAAAATCAAGTGTGGGGAAAGGTTCTTGGGATGTGACCGCAATACAAGTAGAGATAAATTGTTGGGTACATGCTTTCGATCGGAGATTTGCAAAATAATAGTGACTAGGCTAAGCTTTAAATGAAAATAAGTTCCCTCTCGGGCAACTTACCCCGTTTCAAATGCGTTCTTCTCGGACACCCATTTTCTGCATGAAGACCAGCCTACGCCTTACCCCACTCATTCTCTCGAGCTGAGTGTTAGGATATGGGACTAAGGCTCACCCTCTTGGGCTGAACCTCATGTCGACCCACTCTTTAGGCCATCAATCTAGTGGTTTTGGTTTCGCGACCTTCCCCTTGAGCAAGCCGAAAACACATGGATGGCTTTTTATTTGCAACTACAAACCCTTTAGATTAAACCACAACCACTAGGTGAAATCACCATTAAAATACATCTAACCTATCAGCAAGCAAGACCCAACAAGAATATCAACCCATATTTGCTAAATCACACCCCAAGAATGGGGGTTTTTAGCCACACATCAAGAAATAAGAAATTATACCTAACATGATAATGAAATCAACTGGGTATAAGAAATTAAACCTTGAATTAAGCAAAGGAAAGTTAATAGAGAAGACCCACTTCCAACTTGGGGAAAAAGAACTCCTTTCTTCAAATCTCCACAAAATCTTCTCCAAACTTGAGAGAAAAATATTAGCTAGATTATGTTCTGAAGTAAAAAATTAATAATAATATTATGTTTTTTTATATCTCTAATTCTAAATAGTATTTATAGTTTTCACAAATTGTGCTGCGGAGGATTGTTCGGCGACATTAGTCAAGATCGCCGATGAACTCGGCGATCCGCCTTTTGGTCAGCTCATCGCCTTCAGTGTCTTGCCTTTTGCATCCTCGCATTCTGGATTATTGGGCGGTACAGTACTGCTTCGCGAAATTGATCGACGACCCGCCGACTGCTCCTTTCCTCACCTTTTGATCCACTTCTTTCAAGGCTTCGCGTAATGGAACGAAGGGTGGCTCATGTCGTTTCGATGACTCGCCAAGTTAAACTCGGCGATCCACAAGATTCCATTTCTTGTTCTTTTCAGCCCTATTTGCTCTGTTTTGCGCCTAAGTGTCCATGCTTCCACTAAAACTTCAAATACCTGAAACTTCAGCATTTTAATCAGGTATTTAGGTAAAACAAGCATTCAAGGACACAATTTCCATTAAAATAAAGCCCTAAATGAGTCGAATTTGTAGACTCATCAACACCCCAACTTAAACTTTTGCTTGTCCTCAAGCAAACTAAAGTTCAGTCGTTCAAAAAGGGAGCCTCAAACAGTGCTACATAAGACTAAATCATGAATGCCCACAACAAGAATCAATTTACTTATGCAAGGATCAATTGTGTACTCAAAGATTCAAATTGTGACACACCATCACCAAAGATTCTCATGCTCGCAATACTTGCCACTTGTTCAAGTTCAAGCTCAACAAAAATATCTAAATGCCCTCGCACAAAGAATGATTCCATATTCACACACAGATATAAGTCAATTTACGATCAAGAATCAAATACAACGCTCACACTCAAAAAGAGGAACACAGTGCATGTTTTCACCCATAGGTTTGCCCTTATTTTCCAATTGATTTTCGATCCAGCTTACACAAGATCAAAAAGGTCTATGTAAGGCTTGTAATGGGGCTGAGTGCAAAGGTGTGGTCATTTAGGCTCAATGACTTTTTCCTCGTGAGTTGTGGCATTCTCAAGGCATTCCTTCTTTTCCTTTATCAATTTTTTTCTAGTGCTTCTAAGTCACCTTTTTTTGTTTTATTCTCCTCCATGGATTGCTTGAAACCCGATTCCCTTCGTACTTTATTCCATTTTTATTTTTGAATTGAATTGAATTGAAGGGGTTCCATTTTTATGCAATACCATGGGTTAAGAAGGAATTTTCTTGCACTTCTTGACTTCTCCTTTTCCCTTTCA